GCATCTTCTATGGTTGTACTTCAATTGTGAATCACCTTCCCACAGAAGGAATTATGCCATGGATGAAGACATTTTAATTTTCCTAAATTTCCAAGTTTAAGCTCTTTGCTTTTCTCATACTAGTTTTATTTTGATTCTCACACTAATTTTATTTTGACGCTCTTCCAACAATTTTAGGTTTTTTTCTGCTTATTTTTATAGTTTACAGTTTTATTTCCTTTTATTTAAGTAAAGTGTCAAATAATTTTTGTTGAAAGAAAGCATGGAAAATGCTAAGTAAAAGTATTTCACTTTTGATCACCAAAACAAAAATAAGCATTTACAATTCTTTAGCGTGTGGAGTAAAAGTTCTGAAGCTATAACAATAGAGCCATTAAAAGCACACATACACACACATACACAAGCACATCTTGAGAGGGTCTGTTTAGAGAGGGTTGCAATTTGTCACACTCTCACTTTGATAATACACAATAATGTCTACCTTCTCAGGGGTGGTGGTGGAAGTTGTACACTCTTAAGTACAATGAAGAGGTTGATAATACACACCATTTAAAGCAGTTTCAATGATGCATGCTAGGTATGTGGAGCAAAAGGTGTTGGGGAGTATAGGTGATAGTTAAAAGAATAAACAACAGGGTTAGAGACAGAATTATTTTCAAAAGTTTGGATTTTAAGGCAAAAAATGAAATCATGAATGGTCTTGTAAACGATAATCTGCACTGGTGCTGATTTTGAACCTTGAGAATAACAGATTCACGTGAGTCAATCCTGTGAATTTTCTGGACTAGAACAGATTTTTAGCTGGGAAATAAAGGGCATATTTTTATTTTTAAATACCAATGATTAATTTTGACCATTAAATTTTATTATCTATAAAACAAACATAAAATTTAACTAGATACATATTTATGTCTAATATATGATGAGATAATTTCAAAGCTCCATATATTTCTTACAGTCTGATTAGAAAAAAACTAAAAAAGATGTAGTAATAGTTTTGCTGATATTTGCTTATTCAAGTTAATAAGACAAATTTTGTGGAACAGTTAAGATGTCAGGCTAGGAGTTGAGAGATTTTAGTCCATCCTCAATCATGGAAGCTCACTGGGACTTTTGGGTTTGGTATTTTCTCCCAGAGCAACACAACATCATAGGTTCTAATAGAAGAGAATATGTGTATTCAAGCTTGCATTGTGGAATCCTTGATATTCTCTGAGCTTAGCTTATCTTATTGAATAATGAAACTTTTGCAAGCAGACAACCAAACCCAGAGAGTACTAGCCTCAGAATAACAGAATTGAAAATCCAACTTCCTGTTCAAGCAAGAAACCCTATACCATTTTAGACAAATGGTTGTCCAATTTCTCCTTTAAAACCTCCAGTGTTGGAGCACACACAACTTCTGGAAGTAAGTTGTTCCATTGATTAATTGTTCTAAGAGTCAAATAATTTCTAGTTAGTTCTAGATTGCTTCTCTCCTTGATTGGTTTCCATCCATTGCTTCTTGTCCTGCCTTCAGGTGCTTTGGAGAATAGGTTGACCGCTTTTCATAGGGTTGTTGTTCTGGGGAAAATATATCTCATGCTACACTTAATAATAAGTGTACATTAAATAAAAATGCTAAATAAGAAAACCATATTGGTACTGGCCCATGACCATAAGAAAAATTGATGAAGATTGAAGATGACACTATGCAGGCATGCTCACAACTAGACACTTTTATTTAAATCTAAAAAAAATTGTGATGCTTTCCTTGAATCCTACATTGGCCATTCTGCCCTGCTTTTACTCCTGATTACAACAACTAACAGGCCCACCTACCAGACATCTGGAAACCAGCCCTAGTCAACAAACGAAACCCACCCACCACCCAGATCGTTACAACACAAAAGAACAATGGACACACCGCCAGCACCTCATCCACACAGGATGATACAAAACAGCCAACCAATCTACAAACATCAACTCCATCTACCAATCAGGATGCAACTACACACCCAATCAACCCAGCAACAAAGCCAGCACTCCACACACATATCAAGATTTATAGAAAGACGACAGCTCCGCCCACGCCTTACTCACAGAAGCACAAAGCCGAAAACACCAGCCTGAAAATGGCGAGTGGGACCTCGCCTAAACGTTGCCAATCTCAATCTTACATGGGAAAAGACCCGAATACAACAAGACCAGCGCGCGCACACACGCGCGCGCGCGCACACACACACACACACACACACACACAGTACATAAAGATTTCACCCCAACATACCTGCATTTCACAATCTGCTCGAAGGTTAAGCTCTTCACAGCAATCCCTGGATATTCTCAGAAAGATATATTCCTTTGTTTTTTCTTCAATAATTGCTTCATATACTTTCTCTTTGGTTCCTTGGGACAGCCCTGACTTCTCTTTAGTGATTGGTAATAAATAAACAGCATTGACTTTGGTCATCACCAGTCGCCCTGCCAAAGTATCTTCAGAAAGGGTTTCAGTGAGTTTGAACCGTCCAAAAAGTTGCCCATTTTGGGCATATTTTGCACCTCCAGAAACACCAGTAAGCATGAAACTGGCTACAATCTGCAACTGCACTTTGATGTTAAACCTAAAACAGAAAGCACAGAGTTAATTCCAAAAAAATGATCCTTGTAACAAACAAATTAAAAATAAAAAGTCAAAACAGAGTTTTGAAAAT